CGCCGCCGCCGCCGCCGCCCGATCCTCCGGCCTCCGCCAGCAGCCTCAGCAGCAGCAGCAGCAGCAGCGGCAGCAGCGGCGACGACGACAACCGGAAGCGGGCGAAGGCGGGAGCCAGAGGGAGTTCAGGAGAGATTGTCGGCCGGACGTGACGTCACGAGGGACAGGCCTGAGCGGCGGGGCGGGGCGGGGCGGGGCGGGGCTTAAGCCGTCGCGGCGGGTGGTGAACCTTGCGGAACCAGAGCGAAGTGTTTGCGTTGTGCGAAGGTAGGCGCGGAAAACTTGTGTTTTTTTTTTTAATTGTCAGTCAGAACTACTCTACTTGAGCTGACTTCTGTTTCCTATACATCTAAACAAAACTGTAATTTTACTTTTAATTGCTCAGTATTAAATGTAGGCAATACATGCGGTGTATTAAAAAACAATCAGAGCAGAAAGGTTTCCGGTGCCACCGTCTTCCAGTTTCCCTATTGCTCTTTCCAGGATGAACCACTGTACCAGTTTATTGTGTATCTTCTGGAGACAGTCCCTATATACAGACATAATGCAACATATAAGCATTAAGAAAAGAAAAAGAGATTAATAGCAGACCACTTGACATGTCCGGTTCCTAACTGTGGTAAAAAGCATGGTTACATTGGCAAATTTGAAATCATCGATGATCACAGAGCTGGAAAAATTGTTGTGAACCTCACAGGCAGGCTAAATCAACGTGGAGAGATCAGCCCAGATTTTACGTGCAACTCAAAGATCTAGAAAAATGGCAGAATAACCTGCTCCTGTCCTATCAGTTTGGTTTCATTGTACTGACAACCTCATCATGGAACATGAAGAACCAAGACAAAAACATACAGGAGGGAAAATCCTTGGATTCTTTTTTTTTTTTTTAAGGGATGTAATACATACATGCAAATAAAATGCCTCAGTGGACTCTGAAAGAAAAAATTAAAAAAAAGAAAAAACATCTCCTACTTCTTAACAAAGGCACAGACAAAAGAACTTACACAGCAAAGCAAATATTGTGGTTGATCAGGTCGGGCCAGGGCATGACATGGAATGGATTTGTGATGAATGTCGAGGATTCCAGGAAGAAGAGCCCCTTGCCTACCCTGCAGTCTGGAGGTCCCCAGAGTTGGAGGGGACTGAGCTCACTCTTGAAAGTTCTCCAGGCTTTGCATATGTCAAGAAAGAAGGCACTTTCTAGAGGAAGGAAAAGGTGAGATGTTAGTTTACATCTGTGTAGAGCTTACAAAGTGCATGATTACAATATACACCCCTCCTTGATCTCTCGTTTGATTACAGATTTTGGGGTGTTGAGGGAGAACAGGGAGATCTTTCTGGCCAGAGCAGAGGGTGAAATCGGTAGGATAGTTGGACATAGAGATTGGGTCGGAGTATGGAATGAAAAGAAGTAATGACACCAGGGTATAATTTTGAAGTTTCAGGGACAGAAGAGTATTACCTATTTTTTATTCATTTTGACAGGCAGCCTGGAGTAGAGAAAGGAGATCTTCCATTAGCATGCTGTGTAACCACAGGCAAGGTACTTACACTTTCTGCACCTCATCTATAATATGGAGATAAAGTTATTACTTCACTGAGTAGTCCTGTGAGTTAAGCACAGAAGTCTTTAGCAAATAATTGCCTCCTAGCAGTCATATTGAAATTAACGGAGGGTTAGAATTTTCTTAGGACCTCTGATGTCTTCCTTTCCCAATTAGAAGGTATCATAGTCACCTGTTCTGGTTTTGAGATTAAATATGAGTGTGTATATTTGTATGTATGTGTGTGTGCATGGATTTGTGTTATGTACATGGTATGGATTTCATCACCTCTAGAAAACCCTAAAAAACCCTAAAAAAAAAGCTCACTCAGCTGATTTTTTCACAACCTGCTCCTCTTTTTGATAACAGCCTTTCTGAGATTAAAATAATCAACCATAGAATTCCAGTCTTTTAAGGTATATAATTCAGTGGGTTTTAGTATATTCACAAAGTTGTGCAATCATTTCCATTATCTAATTTCAGAACATTTTGTCACACCAGAAGATACCCAGTATGCATTAGCTGTCACCCACCGTTTATTCCCAACCTCCTCAGACCCAGGCCACCACTCATCCACTTTCTATTTGTATAGATTTCCCTATTTTGGACATTTCCTGTAAATGAAATCATATAACATGTGGTCTTTTGTGACTGGTTTCTTCCACTTAGCATGTTTTCATTGTTTAACCAGGTGTAGCATATATCAGTAGTTGGATCCTTTTTATGGCTGAATAATACTCTACATTGTGTTTATCCATCTGTCAGTTGATGGAAATTTAGATTGTTTCCACTTTTTGGTTATTATGAGTAATGCTGCTGTGAACGTTTGCGTACAAGTTTTTGTGTGAATATATGTTTTCAATTCTCTTGGGTATATACCTAGGAATGGAATTGCTGGGTCATGTAACTCTAGGTTCAACCATTTGGGGAACTTGGCATTTCTGTTTTTTAGAGTGGCTGCACCATTTTATATTCTCACTAGCAGTGTATAAGGGTCCAAGTTTCTCCACATCCTTGTCAATACTCGTTATTATTTGTCTTTTTGACTATAGCTATTCTAGTGGGTGTGAAGTGATATCTCGTTCTGGTTTTGATTTGCATCTCCTGATGGCTTAATGATATTGAGCATCTTTTCATGTGCTTATTGGCCATTTCAAATCATCTTTTCTTTGGAGGAATGTCTATTAAAATAATTGACCCATTTAAAAAATTGGGTCATTTGTCTTTTTATTGAGTTTTAACTGGTTTTTGTCTATTCTGAAAACTGGAGCCTCATCAGATATATGATTTTCAAATAATTAGTCCCATTCTGTGCATTGTCTTTTCACTTTCTTGATGGTGTCCTCTGGAGCACAAAAGTTTTAAATTTCAATGAAGTCGAGTTGATCTATTTTTTTTCCTTTGGTTGCTTGTGCATTTGGTGTCATATCTAAGAAATCATTGCTTAACCCAAGGTCACAAAAATTTATGCCTATGTTTCCTTCTAAGAGTTTTATAGTTTTGGCTATTACATTTAGGTCTTTGCTCCATTTTGAGTAAGTTTTTATGAATGGTGTGAGGTAAGGATCCAACTTCATTCTTTTGCACGTGGATAGCCAGTTGACCTGGTACCATTTGTTGACAAGGCTATTCTTTCCCCATTGAATTGTCTTGGCAACTTCAGTTACAATAACAGAAAAGGTTGATTCAGAGAAGTAGGTGCTTAAAACAAACTGGATGAACTAGAATAGGCTCCAGGCTAGGCCTCCAGGAATAATCCTCAAAACCCTGCAGAATTGAGCCTCCAGGAGAGCTGCAACCTGGATGAGAGTCAGGAAGCTGAGAAATAATAAATGACTTCTCTCCCCTCTCAGCCACATTCAGAGTCAGGCAGCTGCTGCCAGACTGTCAGGTTCAAAGCCACATGGAGTCTGCTAGATCCATACCGGCTAAATAGGTACCCGGAGCAGCACTGTCTCTCTCCCCACTTCACTCAGTTCTGCTTTCAAATCTTATGTGGAGGTGTTTGATTGGTGTAACCCCAACCCCTGAAATGCATCCTGGGGGTTTTACTGCAAGGGAACATAATACATGCCGATTTTTAGCCTTCCAGCCTCTGCGGTATAAGAAGACGGACCAGAAGGAAGTTAGAACAGGAGTCAAGGGCACTAATCTACGTATCCACCATAAAAGGTAAGTCAATGTGTATAAACATTTTGTAACTGGATAATTCATTCCCATCGTTGTCCTTAACTGACCTAATTTTCTTCCTTTTAGCCCTTGAGATTAACCCTAAAAGCATCCCCTCCTTGCCTTTGCTCAGGGGTTAGGAAACTTTTTCTATAAAGGGCAGAGCGTAAATATTTTAGGCTTTGCAAGCCATACAGTCTCTGTCACAAGTTTTCAAGTTTTGTTGTTGTAGCGAGAAAGCAGCCTTAGACAACATGTGAACAAACGAGCATGGATCCAATAAGACTTCATTTACAAAAACAAGTGGCCAGCTGGGTTTGGCCTGCGGACCATAGTTTTCAGACCCTGTCTTTGCTTATATTGTCTATTCACTCAACACATCCTTACTGAGGACCTGCTGTGTGTCAGTGCTTTCTAGGGGAGGAAGTATAGCAATAAATAAGACAGAGGTGCGCCCGCTCAGTGGAGCAAACATTCTGCCAGAAGTGACACTGTCCTCCCCACCTCCCCTTCCCTGCCTAACCCAGACTCCTGTTTAATACTCGGTATGGGTTGGCTTTCCTTGACTTTCCTTCCCCCAGCAAGGGTTGGTTCCTTCCCTTAGATCTCCCACAGTGCCCTGTGCACACTGAGGTCACTTGTACCAACCTTGTGGATAATGTTGTCTGCTTAAGCATCTGGTTTCCTGCAAGACTGTGAACTACTCAAAGGGAAGAACTGGGCCCCTCCTCACGTTGAGTCATCCCTGGCCTGGCTCAGAACCAGCCTGTGGTCCGTGGTGTTTTAACTTTAAGGAATCCTTGTAGAGGCTGAGATATGAACATTAGACACAGTTGTGGGCAGTTCTGTCATAAGTGGCCTGATTCAGATGAGAATTTCTATTTATCAACTGGGTTATGGTACAATTTATGTGCACCTCTTTCAAGTATGCAGTTCTGTCATAAGTGGCCTGATTCAGATGAGAATTTCTATTTATCAACTGGGTTATGGTACAATTTATGTGCACCTCTTTCAAGTCGATGAATTTTGACAAATGTTTACATTTCTGTAAATACCACTTCAATCAAGATCCTCTCACCCCAAAATTCCCAATAATCACTGATCTACTGCCTATCACTACAGATTAGCTTTGCCTATTTTAAAACTTTATATAAATGGAATCCTGCTATATGTACAACATGTTTTATACCTGGCCTCTTCACACAGCACAATGTGTTGCTGCAGCAGTAATCCATTGCTTTTTGTGGCTGAGTAGTATTCCATTTATGGCTATACCACATTCTGTTTATCAGATGAGAATTTAAAGGAAAAAGATATCTCTCTGCTCTCTCCCCCAGAACCTATGGGGACTAGGAGGGTCTTGCATGGCCTCAAATATACAGGCTGTGTATTATCTCTTGTAATATTGTGATTTATAATAAAAGATATATATTGATTTTCAGTCCCTGTTCCTAGCACAGAGCTCCTAAAACCCTTGGAATTTCCTAAGTGTTGAGAGTAGCAAGTGTCTTTTGTTATGTTAATGAGGTGTTGGAATGCCTCTAGGTCACCTAAGGATGGGGGTTGGTCACCAGAGGAACCAACCAAGTAATTGGAGAGTTGGAACTTTCAGTTCTACGCCACTGACCTCTGGGGAGGGGAAAGGGGCTGGAGATTGAATTCAGTCACCAATGGCCAATGATCTAATCAATCGTGGGTAAGCAATGAAGCCTCCATAAAGAAAACCAAAATGATTTGGGGGCAGGGGTGGGGTTCACAAGAGCTTCCAGGTTGGTGAATACATGGTGACTGGGGGAGAATGGTTTGCCCAGAGAGGGCATGGAAGCTCCAAACCCTTTCCCCATATCTGGCCCTAAGCATCTTTTATATCCAGCCGTTTCTGAGTTATATCCTTTTATAATAAACCAGTAATCTAGTAAGTAAAGTGTTTCTCTGAGTTCCATGAGCCGCTCTAGCAAATTAATTAAACCCAAGGAGGAGATAACTGTAACCTCCAGTCTATAGCCAGCTGGTCAGAAGTGTGCTGACAACCTGGACTTGAGACTGGCATCTGAACTTGGGAGGGGGTAGGGGAGCAGTCTTGTGCGACTGAGCACTTTACCTGTGGCATCTGATACTATCTCCTGGTAGTTACTGTCATAATTAAGTTGAATTATAGGGCACTCAGCTGGTGTTGGAGAATTGCTTGGTAGTGAGGAAGAAACCCACGCGTTGGAATTGGAAGCAGAATCTTATCTCTGAATGAGGGTATCCAGATAGTGGGTGATTAGAAAGCTGCTGATGCAATTGTGACCCCTGGATTCATACCCAATATACTGCCAGGATAGAACACGCAATATATACCACGTTTGGGCAGCCCTTGCTTGGAACTTTTACTTACAATATAGTGTTTACTTATTAATATAACTTCAGTTTCAAAAAATGGAAGTGGCCTGGATGTCCCCAGCCCAGGGGTATCCCTTCTGTAGCCTATTCCAGTGTTTAGCTATCACAGCTTCCCAAAACTCATTCCTTCGAACTCTCCTGTAGTTACCTGTTGCCTCTGTTCTCTCTGGCTCTGTCTTTCCTGTGGCAAGAGGAGGCTGTTTATATGCTCTGTAATGAGGTCACCCACATTCTGTATCATCATAGGGATAATAGTCCCTTACCTTTGGATAACACTTTTTCACCTTACCAAGCACTTTCAGACTATTATCTCACTTAAGCTGAGCCACAACCCTGTGATGGATGCAGGCTGCTTATTATTCTTTTCGTTATTGTTATTGATATTACTATTCCTACATTTTAAGAGATAGAGAGACTGAGGCTCAAACAGGTTATGACTTCCCTGAGGTAGACAGCCAGGACCTGTGGTGCTGGGAGTAGTGCTCAAGCTTCTGGCTGGTCACCTTTTGCACATCCTCCTGTTGGGTACCCACTCTTTGTCATCACATCTGCTGAACCGCTTGGGGATGAGCAGCATCCATTTCTTGAGCTCCTGACACATAAAGGGCAGAATGTGTACAGAAGGTGATAATAATCATAGATAACATTTATAGACAGCTAGGCTGAGTCAGATGCTGTTCTAGGCCTTCTAGAGATCTTATCTCTAATATGCCCAACTTCCATACCAGGTGGGTATTATTATGCCTGTTTTACAGATAAGGAAGCAGCCTCAGAGAAGCTGATGTGTCTCTGGAAATTCTCTAGCCTCTTGCTGTGGTTGGGAACAGTCCACTGTGCATAGCCTTTGATTTCACGTGTGCTTTGTTTCAAATGCTGGCTCTCCCACCCACTTGCTGTGTGACCAAGAGTCTCAACCTGTTCTTGCATCTGAAAAATAGGAGGAGGAGGTCCTCATTCAGAGCGTACTCTTTAGAGGATTTAATGTCAGGCCCAGCCAAGGTTTAGCCAATGAGAATGGTGGTTAGGCGCCAGTCTGGGTCCAAAAGGATGCTGGGGCCCATGAGGCTTGGAGAAGAGGGGCAGACTGGAGAACAGCATGTCTGACTGTGGGGGCCATGCTTCAGTTTCAGTGTTTCCCCCTTCGGAGTACATATCAGGCAATATCAGCCAAAGTCTGTAGTTGTAGACTTCAGAAAATGAGGTACGGTCTGTTCACAGTGACTTTGGTATTAATAAGTCCTCTGTTGAAGCCAGTTTATTATTTGCCTATTTACTGCAGTTCCACCCCTGTAGTTCCTGTCCTTCTCTCTCCATCCCAATATTTAGTAGATTTCTGATAGGTACAACCCTTCCTCTATCACCTCTGTCCTGCAGAGTGAAACTGGGCAGTATACCTAATGCCATACCACATCCAGTGGCATGTGCTGGTTTGGGTAGCTTAAGCTCCAACCAGAGAGCACTTTTAAAATGGAAATGCACTGTCATCTACAATGAATGGTGGACCACACCCTATACCAGCCACAGCCCAAAGGCAAGGCACAGTGTACAGAGCCTAGCAGCCAAGAATGGGTGGTTGCCAAATTGAGTCAAGAAGCACCCTGCCCCAGGAGCTTCTGACTTCTCTTGGGTGGAGCCCGGGTTTTTTGATGGGAATCCTTTGCCATGATTGGGTGGGTACTGTCGAGTTCAAGGTGGAAGACTGAACTTGATAACTGGGGATCTGATTCTCCAAGCAGGCTCTGGACAAGCTACTTGGCTTCCATGTCTCCATCAGTGAATTCATTTGGAAATATCTACTGAGCTCTTGATACGGCCCTGGCTCCAGATTCAGGGGTGAATGAGGGCAAACCTTATGAAGCTTCCATGGGATCCACCTACTGTGGTGAGGACTCCTTGCATCCAGGTCTTCTGGCTGAATTTAGATGGAGTTATTTTTCTGTCCACACTGAGTTAGCCTTGGAAGCCCTGGGGTAGCAATGGCTGGCAGTGTGTATTGTATTGCACCACAACCCTCTCTTCTATGGCTTCCTGTACCTCTTGGGATTTAGAATAAGGCCCTCCATAGTCTGGCTTCATCTCCTGCCTTTCTCCATCTCACTTTCTGTGCTCCTGTTCCTCACACAGACCATGCTCCTTCCTCTCACAGGACTTTTGCACATGCTATTCTCATTGCCTTGTTGTTCTCTGTGATGAGCAGACTTTAAGGTGACCCCCATGACCCCTAACTTCTGGTGTTCACATCCACAAGTGTGGGTGGGACCTGTGACTTGCTTCTAACCCATAGAATATGGCAAAGGTGAGAGAATGTCCCTTTTGTGATTAAGTTATGTAAGACTTCATCTTGCTAGAGCCTCTCTCCCTCGCTCTCTCTCTGTTGCTGGTTTTGAAGAAGCAAGCTTCTCTGAGTCCTACAGTCATCAGAAAATGAATTCTGTCAACAACCTGAGGGAGCCTGGAGGTGACCCTTCCCCAATCAGGCCTCCATGTGAGAACACAACCCTGCCTCACACCTTGATTGCAGCCTTGCAGAGGACCCAGCTAAGTCGTGCTGGGACTCCTGACCCACAGAGACTGTGAGATAGAAAATGTATTATTTTTAAGTCGGTAAGTTTGTTGTTTAAAAAAGAAAAAGCTGTGTAAATGTGTTACTGTTTTCTATATGCAGCATAGAAAATCAGTATATTCTCTAACATTCACCTAGTTTACTCCTACTCATCCCTTATCATTCCCATCCCACTGAGATGAGTCTTCTCATCAACCAAGATGCCAAGGCCCAATCTCCTGGTTAGAGGCTCTCATGCCATTGTGTGCCTTACTACCCTATGACTTACACAGTTATAACTGTGTGATTGTTTAATTGATAGCTGCCCCCTCATCCACCCCCAAACCGTAAGTGCTTCCCCCCTACCCCAAATCCCTCCCTTGGACAGAGACCTCTAATTGTTCCTCAGTATCCTTTTCCCCTTTTCACAAGTTTTAGCCAGGCCCGTGAACATTCAGCCGTAGACTACATTTCCCAGCCTCCCTTGCAGTTAGGTGTGGTCACATGACCAAGTCCAGGCTACATGACGTAAGAGACTGCTGCGTGTAACATATGGGTCATCTCCTTAAAGGCAAAGTGGCTTACTCTAGACATATTTCTTTTCCTCTTCCTGCCAGCTCGGAAATAGTATAACTGCAATAGCAGCCTTGGACCCAGAGAAGAAAGGAACATATTGAAGATGATAGAGTAACTGGCCATCTTGGTTTTTTGATGACCTTTTGGAGCAGAGCTTCCCTAGATCACCTGTTTCATAGAAGAAACAGACTATTTCATTTAAGCTGAAGCATTTGGAGGTCTTTTATAGCAGCCTAGATGTACCCTAATTGATATGCTCCTTGAGAATAAATTAGGGGTGTCCTGTGTGTGTTTTTGATATACTTGTCCTTCAACACTTGTTAGGGAGAACACTCTCCACTCTGGCTTTGTTTCCAAGTCACAGAGCAGTCCTGTCTTTGGTTTTCAGTTTCTCACTAGGATGCAGAAGCTAGGGGTGGGGCTAGGGTGAGGCAAGACCTAAAGAGGCACTTTCAGGCCATGGCTGTGTAGGATTGGCAGCAGAGAGTGAGTGTGAAACCGAGCCCCCCTAAAACTGAGTTCCCTTACAAAGTCTGTGGTTAATCTCTATCCAAATGCATTTTCTTGCTAGCCTCCTCTGAACTCAGTCCCTTTCTTGTCCCGACCTCAGTCCTGTGCTAACTGAACACCCAGCCAGCAGAGCCAGATGACTAAGATTGCTGTTGTCGATAACATCGTTAATGTACTAAAATTACTGCTGTAGAAATCATCATTAATGTACAAACTCAGGCTGTTTCTCCAGGGCGAGCTGAGCTAACAGACCTCTGAGCCATGGACCACCTGGCCAGAAAATTATAAACCAGAGATATTCTAACTCCCGAAATCATGATTAAGAAATGTCACAAGACGATGATTAATCCTAGTCTCTTTGTTCTTGCCCCATAAAACATTCCAAACTCAAAGACCAAGATGGAGTGGATCTGAGACTCATCTTCCACTCCCTCGCTAGGTGCCCTGCAAATAGACCCTAACTTTTCTGCAGATACCTGCTGTCAGAGTTCGACTTTCTGTGGCTGTGGGCATATGTGCCCTCCTTAAATTTTGTACTTTGGAAGCCTTTGGTACCTTTCCCTAGTCTCAGCCCTGCCAGAGGTCATAGCATTTTCGTTAAAAAACTTAAATATATGCTTGTTTTTGTCGTAATTGCTAGGAATTCATTGCTAGGAATTCTTCCTATGGAAATAAACAGGTTTCTAAACCATAAGTGCAAAGTGACCATTTTCTTGAAAAAGTGTATAGATAGAGACAAGACTGGAGGGACATGCATCCCAGTGATAACAGAAGCTATCTCCCTTTGAGAGATAGGGTTATAGGTGATTTTATTCCATTGTGGTTTTTTGTGTTTTGCAAATTTTCTGCCTTCTGCAAGTAACATTTTTGTAGTCAGGGAGAAAAAACACTATTTAAAATGTTTTTAACTGTCCGTCTTTTCCAAAGGTGACCCATTGTGCTTGGGGTAAGCACCTTGCTATCTTCTTTCCTTCTGGGGAGCACTTTCCCATGAGGCTCTCTGATTTCTTGTGCAAATAGCCCCACAGACTCTCACCCAACAAACCTCCCAGACGGACAGGTCCAGACATGTCTGAATCTACAGACAGGCTGGGAAAAGCCTGTTGGGGATGCTGTCTTCCCTGAGGGCACTGGGAGGGAGGATGTGATGGCTTAAAGGCCCTGTATAGTACTGCATGGGACTCTCCCCCTCCCCGGCCTCTGCCTCCTCCCCTGACTTATTCCCAGGGGTAGCTCCAGGAATCGACACCCCTGTGGATGGAGTCAGATAGACAGGATTTGAATCCTGACTCTGCCATGTACAAGCCATGTGACTCGGCAAGTCATTTAGACTCGGCAAGTCATTTAGTCTCTGTGCTCATTTTTCACAACCCCAAAATGGAGATAACACTAGTTGTTACCTCACAGGGTGGTCTTCTGCAGCCTGTAAGAAAATGCCTGTGAAGTGTGGCTCCCAGCGTGGCGCCAGGTGACTCAACAGGAGGTAAGTGTTGGCATTGTTATTGACACCCTGGTGGCTGTGTCTGTCTCATCTCAAACACAGTGTTGGACATGCTAAACTCTTGACCACCCTCCACCCCTCAACCTGTTCCTCTTTCAACCTATGAGACTGCAGCCTTGACCTCCAGCCCTGGTCTGTCTGTGAATCTCCTGACTTCTACTTCCAGGACTTTGTTGGACAGCCCCAGATGGACATCCTCTTAACATCCTTCGCGATATATCTTAAATCCTCCTCCTCTTTATTCATCCCTAAACTAGCATGTCCTCCTCCAGTAGGTCTTCTCTTCCCGACTCCCTTCCCACTCTTACCTCCTTCTTGTTCTTCTGTGCCTGTTGAAATCCAGCCCATCCTTTAAAACTTATTCAGATATCCTTTTACTCCCATGCAATTGATGGGCACATTGAGAGCAGCCTGTTCTTGAAAATCTTTACGTGGTACTGCTGAACTCAAATTTTTCGTGGTTGCAATACGCCGGTTTTCCCAAGGAACTGAATTCTCAGAGGTCCAGGAGCACTGATGTGAGAGAGTTCTTCCCTTTTCAAATCTCATTCAGTCATTTTGTATTGACCAAGGCACTGGTGTGCTTTACCATCTCCCTCACACTTGCTGGACTCCTTTTGTAACAAAGAGAACAGCTTTGGAGCAGACCTTTAGCCGGCAACAATTTTTTTTTTCATGTTTGACATTTTATTTTATTTTATTATTTTTTTAGCAGGCAACAATTTGCTATAATTTAATAACACTGATTCATTTTAATTATATATTTTTTTAATGTTTTCCACTTTCATTGCAATTTAATTTACTGTTTATTTTTAAGGTTATTTTCTATCCATGTCAAATGATAGTAGTAATGATATAAAGTTTCCTTTAAAAATAAACATCTTTACGCTAAAAAGTGAGTCAATTTAAAGGAAAAAGGAAGTAAACTGTCTCTCCCAGAAAAAAAATGTCCTGATTTGTGGTGTGTGCTGACTTCCATACTGTAAATTCTCCCACTATGCCTATTTCTAATAACCTAGGTGATGCCACTGAATGCAGAGTTGGGAAAAGATGTGCAGACACCCTCTCTAAGTCCATCCAGGTGACTCAAGCTCACCACTGGGGGGGAGGGGATGGTGGTATTTGGGCTCAGATATAGCAAATATCCAGAAGGTAGCCCAGCATTGGTAAGAAACACTTATTACAGTCACTTTTTATATGAATATTATTCCCCATAACAAAGTACCAGTGTCTTGAGGGTACTGACTGCTTCTTTTTTATATACGTATGTGTGTATTGAAGTATAGTCAGTTTACAATGTTGTGTCAATTTCTGCTATGCAGCATAATGTTTCAAGAGTACTGACTACTTCTTGATCATCTTTGCAAACCTTGCAGTACCTGGGTTGGGCCCATGGTGGGTACCTCTCACCAGGCTGAACTTTCTAAAAGAGGGACAGGGGTGAACCATTTGTCTGTTTCCGACGGCAGTGATTTGGAGTGACCTTGAGCTCTTGGCTATTGGTCACTTAGCTCCAGGCAGAGTTGTGGCCCCAGGTGAAGGACTCAGGGAGGCAAAGGATGTTGCATGGAGTCTGACTCACCCATGTCACTGAGACTTCATATTTTGTTTCTACCCCAGTGTACAATAAAGACAAATATGAGGAGAATAGAATAGAAAAGGAGAGATTGAAGGCCTTGTATTAATTTAGTAACAGAGTTCCCAAAACTAGGTGGCTTAGCAACGATAGTTTGCTGTCTTGCAGTTCTGGAGACTAGAAGTCTGAAATCAGGTGTCAGCAGGGTTGACAAATCAAGGTGATGAAGGTGAGAGAAGGATCTGTTCCAGGTCTCAACCCTTGACTTGTAAATGGGGCTCTTCTCCCTGTGGCCCTTCACATTGTCATCCCTTTATGTGTGTCTCTGTCCAAATTTCCTCTTTTTACAAGGATATCAGTCATATTGGATTAGGGTCTACCCGCTGATCTCATTTTAATTTGATTACCTCTATAGAGACCCTATCTCAAAAGAAGGTTGCAATCTGAGGCCGGGTGGTTAAGATTACAACGTATCTTTTTGAGGGGACACAATTCAAACCACACCAGGGCTGGAGACTGATTCTAGTAATTCTCTGATGTGAATTGTTCCCCATCAGGGCTTTCAGTCATAGGAGATTAGCTGCTGGCTCTGTCCACAGGGTACGTCCCTCCCACAAGTGCCGTGAGAATTTATCCTGCTTGGTGGAGGGGTAGATCCTCCAGGAAATAGCTAGATAACAATTTTGCCATCACACCAAATTGTTTCCTATATAGCAGGCAGCTGACAAGGCTATCAGGCTTAACAGGGGCTACATGTGCAAGTGCTGGCTAACATCTAAGTCTCTCTCTGTTCATAGGTAAAGATATATGGCTCCCAATGAGGAGACCAGGCTTGGACCTGGTCTGTAAGGGACCCAGTCCTATAAGATGCTCTGGCTCCCTTAAGAGGAGGCTGTTTGAGGCCAGCTAAACTTCTTCACAGAGAAGCCTCAGTAGGGTTTCCTCCTGCAAGGCCCTGTCTTCCTGATTTCCTCATTTGCTCTTCTGAAACTGAAGGTGGTAATGGATACTCATGAGTGAGGGATAAAATTTGCCCAATTAATTGCATTGAATGAAGTCTGTAAATATTGTGACTGTTGATAAATACTTACCGAGCACCCACTATGTGTTAGACATTGTGGGAATATTTACTGAGCACTGCAGTAAGCTACAAAACAGCCCCAGTTCTCTATCCGTCCCTGTATCGGTGTTCCTTGCCTTTAACTTTGCTGCTCCTGCCATCAGGAGATGGAGCTGATTTCTCCACTTTGAATCTGGGGGACATTCTGACTTGGTTAAGTCAATACAATTATGGAAATGACACTGACAGTTTTGATCCTCAGCCTTGAGAGACCTTCATGATTCAAGCACTAAACTTTTCATGTATTAATCCTGACAGTGACCCTGTGAAGTAGGTGTGTATACATTTTAATTCCTATCTTATAGAGTAGAACATTGGGATTTACAGGGGTGAAGTAATTTAGTGTAGCCAGAATTATTGTCTGTAAAAACCTGAATGGGTGCCTGCAAGACATCGCTGGAAAAGCTTCCTATTCCCTATCTTCTCGTTTCTCAAAGTACCCTGATCTGACTAATTCAACTCCGCTCCCCTGAGACACAGTCCTGATGATCCTGGGATCTGTTGCACGTTCCCGTCTACACTCCGCGCTCCCAAGCATTTTCCCTTTAGAAGCCTAACACAAAGCGGATCCACCCTGTAGACGAGAGCGCGCCGGCCGCCTTTCCGGGCGTGCCGCTCCCAGGAGCGGCGTGAGGACCGATGCGCTGATTGGACGCGCGCTGCCCGGCCTGCGGCCTGCTCCCGCCCCGGCGCCGCTTCTGGCGCGGCGATTGGCGGAACGGCCGTGTGCTCAGAGTCCGCAGCCTCTCGCGCCCCTCCCGGCAGGCTCCAATGAACCGCTGTTGCATGGGGCGCCGCCGGCGGCCGAGGGAGCGTGACTGCGCTGCGCAGGGCGCTAGGAGGCATTGTCGCCGTAAGTGAAGCGGAGAGCGGCCCAGAACGGGGCCCCACCTTCGTGCTCCGCAAAGTAAACGTAGTCTGAGGCTGAGCGCTGGAGGGGCTGGGGGAGAGAGGGAGAGAAGTATCCCCGTTTCCGGAGCGCACCCTCCCCTCCCCCAAGTCACCCTGTGGAAGGAGCAGCGGTGCACCAGCTGCGGCTTTTGCAGTGCTAAGGGGTCCTTGCGCCGCGCCGCGCCGCGCCGGCTCTGGCTTGCAGAGTGAGGCTGGACCCTGGCTGGCTCGGGGGAGCGGGCGCAGCGGTACCAGGGAATAGGGAGCCCGGGGAAGCCGTCCGGAGGGGGCCTCCGTTCCCTGCGAGAGGCGCCCCTGCTGGGAGAGGCTGTTGTAAATTTCGTCCCTGAAGCCACACTTTGAGGATGGGCTTCCGCTCTGGGGAGCTGCAGACCCCTGTCCCAGAGCGTGCCTCTCAATCTCTGGGGAGCAGGGAATCCCCGACCCTCTGCTATCACCAGCGTTCTCCCCTTTGCTTTATTCTCCCCAGTCTCCGCCTGCCAGGCGAGCGGAGGGCCGGCAACGAAGAGCCATTGGCTGCGGACGCTGGAGGGTGGGATAGATGGTGAGGCAGGCCCCTTGCACGAGGCCTTGGGACCCTGGCCTCACCATTGCGCTCAGTCCTGGAAGGCGCAGCCCAAGAATGCTTAGATGCCCTCTGAGAAACACGCGCGGGGCGCTGAGAACCCCAAGACTTAAAAACAAGGAGCCAAGCCCATCCCGCACACACCCCAGCGGGCTTCTTTCCCTTGGGTGGAAAAGTGGGTCGACTCTGACTGCCCTCGAGCGGGCTACTTGGGTTCGATCCAGCCGGCTGCCTCTCACCTCCTCAGTGGCTCCTTCGCTTGGCATGGTCCAGCGGACCCGCTGGAGCCGGCGGTGGGGGGAGCTTGCACACATGGCTCCGGAGGCTCGAGTTGCCCTTTGGAGCGACTGCCAGGCTCTAAAGTTCCCAAGTGACCACACCAGTAACTAAATATAGGAGCAGCTGGTGCGGACGGGGTGTCGCAGCAGCTCCTTTGCAGAGATCTCAGGGCTTCAGATAAGGTAGAGTTCTCCCTAATGAGGGTGGGAGCCGTAGCAGGAGGCTGCGGTCAGGGTTTAAGCAAAAATCACCCCTCCCCCAACCTTGTATCCAGGTAAAACCAGGTTATAGATAACAGGTGGGCCGTATGTATTGCTAGCTCTCACAAAGCAGGACAACTTTTTTCTGGCATTCCATTTATTATATCCTAACTTACTGTCTGTACCTGTTTGATCACATATTTAGTAATGCCTTAGTGTGGGAAGTGCTTAACAGTTTGCAAAGACCTTTCTCAAAAGCTATGTATCATTTACTTCTCAAAACAACCCAGCAAGAAAGGTGGTATTTCCTGCTTACAAATGGAACTGCTCACAACACTGATAATTTTCCAAAAGTGTGGCTGAACTAGGCTGCTCTCCTCAAAAACCTTTCCCTAGTTCCTGGCAGAGAAACAGAAGGTAGACTTATAGGAGGGCCTCTAGCCCCTCCCTAGACTGATTGCCTGTCTCCCTCCTTCTGATCATTTTGGGTACTTCTGCTCAGTCCCTGCCTCTGTTTCCTCTTCCCAGCCATGCCATGTGCCTTCATGGCAGAGGCCACACGTGTTCCTCAGGCCTGGCATTGTGGCCTCTAGCATCTTGCTCATTCTACCTCTTGTCACTGAGTCTCTCTTACCTGATGGGAAGCTAATTCTGGCTGATGCCAAGTCTCTGTACCTTTACTTGCTCAGTGTGGGCCTTATAGAAGGGCCCAGGACATGTTTGTTGGATTTAAACATTTCCTGGGACTATGGTGAACACTCTGAGGAAACAGAAGTTGGGGATGTCTGAAGAGGGATATCTTGCTGGGACAGTCATAGTGTGACCCTGTGCCAAAGGGTCTCCAGGGTCTGGAGTGCTTCCCTTGAAATTTTCTATTGCTGCCCTCTGGTGCCTGGAACCCCAAGCCCGGAACAGACCCATGTGGGCTGGTGGTTCCTGTTTCTCTCCTTTAGGACACTCTGATTTTCTGCTACCACTACCCCTGTAGGATTGACCAGATAGCTCAAGGAGCCCAGAACTTGGGCCTATGGGGTTGGGTTGTCTTGGGGCCCTGTGGTTGGGGTCTGGTTCCAGGAGGGCTACCTTGTACACTGATTGCTCCCACTGGCTGGCATGATTTTTCTTTCATGGAACTGCATGAGACTGGGCAGCCAGAATCTCTTGGAGGTCTAGGGCACATCTGTGCTGTACCCAGGGCATCCTCTGGAATGTAAGGGGCCCCTCCTCCTAGTGACTTGCTCTGATACCCAGACTTTGCAGGCTATCCCCGTTCCTGCCTTGATGTGCAGTCTCTGACCCACACTATAGGGTAAGTGTCCGAGCTTGCCACGGGAGGTGGTTTTTAATCTTACTAGTTTTCATCAACAGGCTCTATGGCCTAGGGAACCACTTCCCCCACCTGGTGGCAACTAGTAGAATTGCAGGCATAGTGCCCAGTTGAAAGTGATCATCCTAGACCCTGCTCAGGTTAGCACAGACCCTGGACAGCTTGGGAGATTTACCTTCCCTTTCTTCTCTGCTGTAAGGCCAGGATTACCTCAGTGATGTGCCTTAGAAAACTCATCTTTTTCAGAATCACAAGTCAAAGCTATTTGCTGCATTTCTGTTCTCTTCATTCTTATGCTCTGCCTAGTAGATGCTTAATACGTTTGTGGTTATTGAGGATGAGTACTGGAGATGGGGAAAGAGGGAGCAGGTATGGTAGGAAAACTCCTACTCTGGGAGTTAGGACACCTAGATTTTTTTATTTCCATCTAGTTGCTATATCTCTCTTCTTCGGCCTTTCGCACAGCCTGGGTCCCTGAGGAGGATGGATCAGGGGTGGGTCCCTGCCTGGTGGGCGAGTGCTTCACAGCCCCGTGTCTTCCCCAGGCAGCAGGTCCCCTTGTGAGTGGCAGACCAGCCTGGTGGCTGGCGGCAGGACACCCACGTCTGCATGCTGAGGAAGATGGGTGAGGCTGTGGCCAGAGTTGCAAGGAAGGTCAACGAGACGGTGGAGAGCGGCTCTGACACCCTGGGTGAGTGAAGGCACGGCCTGTCCAGCTGCAGGGCACCCTGTACACAGTTCGTGGAATCAGCTTGGAAATGAGATAGAGACAGTATCTGTGTGCACCCCTTGTCATGAGGAGCAGCGTTCCATGGACTTTTACTGCAGGTGTGATTAGTTTGTGTATACAGGGTCTCAGCATAAGACATAGTTCTTACTATAGGTCATGGGCAAAGAAGTTGAAAAACACTGAGTGAGTGATTCCATCCACCGGAAGCCCGTCTGCCTGTCTCAGACTCCTGATGATGCCAAGTGTGTATGTATGTGCCCTTGGACCAGGTGACAGTGGCTGGCCCTGCCGAGTAGCCCTGGTACCAGGCCCTGTGCAGGTGCCTCACAAGTGCTGCCTGGTTGAATTTTCACAACCTCCCCTTGGTGGATGATACCAGGCATGACTAGCCTAGCGTGACTGGCCTTGGTCTTCAAATGAGGACTGGGCCCTCTCCCCACCACTCTGTCCCAGGGTGGGAGGCAGATGGCTGCTGATCGCCGGGGTTGTGAGCACCACGAAGCTCTGGCCAGTTTGGGAGAGGAGTTAAACGCTTGAGCCTTGGTGGTCTTGGCCAAAGCTCGAGACTTTCCCATGGAGGTGGCTGGGTCTTTAAAGTTAGTGCCCAGCAAAGAAGCAGGATGTTGGAGCTGCCCACTGTGGACACCTGCAATCCTGACCTTTTGGCAGGTGGAGCTCATCAGGCTCATGCGATCTGAGGGGTCTGGGGTCTAAGGAGTCAGCATGTATCAAGCACCTGCTGTGTGCAAGGTGCTGGGGGGCTCCCAGGGATATGTGCAGTGGACTTCTCCACCTGAGACTGGCCTGCCGCTATGAGAGCAGTGAGTGACACACGGGCTCCATGCTGAGTTGTGTCGGATGGTCCACAGGTGGTCATAATTCAGAGGCGGGAGATATTGATGGGTGTTGAAGGAATCTGGGAAGGCTTTGTGGAGGAGGTGTGGATTGAAGTGGGTCTTGAAAGAGAAGTGAAGTAACCCAATATGAGGGTCATATAAAATAGCAATCTGAAACAGCCGAAAAAACCAGCACTGGAAAATGGCTTCAGTAACGTTTGTTACAGCTATATTGTGCAATTTATGTAGCTATTAACCATAGCACGTAAAATTTCACTATGTGCTTGAATGAAGAGTGGCAAATTCTCATGTATAATGTGAATTGGAAAAGAATAAGGACCCCAAACTATATAGATGGTAAGATGCTAATTATGTTAAACATGTATATATACATAGATAAAAATTGGAAAGAAATAAGCGCAAATGGGTATTAGAAGATACTCTTCTACATTTTCTGAATGTTCTCTGATGAACATGTTACTTTTACAAGTAGAGAAGAATAGATTTTAGGGAAAGGACCACCTGCCACTCTAGAAGCCTGTGATGTGGAATCTTAGGGGATCTTTTATTCTTTCAGTGCTTGGGCAAAGACCAAACAGCTTTCAAATGATCAAAAAGTGTATTTCCTCCCTAGTTCACTCTTGCACTAAAGGTAGTCTTTCAGAATCCCAGCTTTCTGCAGGAGTCTTCAGCTTCTGCTTCCCACCTGAAGCAGGTCCAGAGGTGCCTTTCTGCTCCGTTCTGGGCCTTTAAACCTTAGCACCTGGTTGCCCAGACTGTCATACCAGCCCTGGCCAGCAAAGCATCAATACCTGCCTATCACTCTCTCTTTGAAATTTCTCTCAATTATTTAACTCCTGGGGCTCACTCTTATTTAATGCCAGGCATCGTCATCAGCACTTTACTGGTTTTGACTCACTTAATCCTCACAAGAATTTTTATGACAGAGGTGATATTAACATCCTCATTTTACAGATGAAGAAACTGAGGCATGGAACTTTTTTATCCAGTGTTTCTAAGTGTTCCGTAGCATGAAACTGTTCAGCTTCTCTCTGCCATGTTGCTTTGGAAGTAGGCGTTTCCCTGTTTTATAGATCCTGGGGCTGAGGGTTGGGCGATCTGAGGGTGATACAACAGTTTAGAGGTGGAGCCAGAGTTCACAGCTCTGTGCGGCTTAGCCCTGCCTTCTCCCGTGTACCCCACTGCCTCCCTTGAGCATCTGGGGGTCGAGGAAGAGGAGAACTCAGAGACCCCAGCAACTTGAAGCTCCCTCTTCCCCCTTACCTTGCCTCTCGTCTCACATTGTTTCGGAACCACAGTTGACCTACCCCATTCCCTGAAAGGAGGAAAGTAATCAGAGGCTAATGTCTGCCTGGCCATGTAGGATGTCTCAGGTGGTAAGGAGAAGGTGGGGCAGCCCCCATGAGCTGCTTCCACTTTCAAAGTAGAATCTCAGAGGGTGCAAAGCAACCTGCATTTTAACATGAACCTGTGTGATTCTCCCCTGCCTCGAATTTTATTTTGGGAACCACTGTTACTATTTACGACCTGGAACTTCCTTCTTCTGGCGGGTTCTGGGGGGCTAGGCAGGCCTCTGGATAGCTCTGTGTGTGTATGTGTGTGAGAGAGAAAGGGGGCGGTGGAGAGGGAGAGAGAGCAGGAATGAATAGGAACATGGTCTTGATCCATCCTCAGGGAACTGAGCGACTAGGCTAGGAGCTGTGAGATAACCAAGTGGGGAGACTAAGGCTAATGAGAGAAGGGATGTGTTCCCCGACTTTCCTCCTTCCTTGTCCGCCTTCCCTCCCTCCACCCAGGCTCACCTCACTTTGGCCACTTTTCTCCTGTTCCCACCAGCAGATGGCGCCCTGTCACTGGTAGGCGACAGGTGGCTGAGACAAGGACTTGACCAGGCTGTTGTGAGTGCACAGGTCCTGCCAAGGGCTTCCAGGCCAGCTCACACCCTGTGTCTGCATTCCTAGCTGACTCTCACAGGGATCTGATTTTGCAGTCTTTTGAGGAAAGGTACTGAGGAAGTGCAGTATTAGGAAGCATAATTATCAGCTTTTGAAAAATGTATGCTGGTAGAAGAATGAAAATGCTCTGCCTCAGAGAGGTAGTTGAATAGATAATTCTGTGGCATCAAAAGCTTGCGTTGCTCAAGTATGAAAGTGTTAGCCTTGGTGGGGGGCAGTGATTTAGCAAGACTGAGGAGTTTATTAAAATCTAATACTTCCAGCCACTATGTAACAGTATGGGGGTTCCTTAAAAAACTGAGTTACCATGTGATCCAGCAATCCCACTCCTCACTAATTCAAAAAGATACACACACCCCAGTGTTCATAACAGCACTGTTTACAATAGCCAAGACATGGAAACAAGTTAAATGTCCATTGACAGATGACTGGATAAAGAAGCTGTGGTATATGTATATACACAATGGAATATTACTCAGCTACAAAAGAGAATGAAATAATGCCATTTGCAGCAAATGGATGGACCTAGAGATTATCATACTAAATGAAGTAAATAAGAGAAAGGCAAATAACATATGATGTCACTTATGTGTGTGATCTAAATAAGTGATGCAAATGAACTTATTTACAAACAAGAAATAGACTCACAGACATAGAAAACGTATCATGGTTGCCAAAGGAGAAGTGGGATGATAAATTAGGAGTTGGGGATTAACATATACATACTACTATACATAAAATAGATAAATTAACAAGGACCTTCTTTCCACACAGGGAACTATATTCAATATCTTATCATAACCTATAATGGAAAAGAATCTGAAAAAGTGTGTATATATATGTATGTATGTATGTATATAACTGAATCACTTTGCTGTACACCTGAAAATTAACACAACATTGTAAATCAAATATACTTTAATTTTAAAATTTAAAAATCAAATACTGCCAGAAATGCAACATGGCTCTGGCTGACAAGGCAGCTGGGGATGGAGGTACATGACGCAGGGGCCTGGCAAAGCCAGTCATTCTGGAATGGAGCCATGACAAACCCTGAGCTGTAGATGTGGTGACATAGGCTGAAATGACTGCTCTCTGACTTCCTTTAGACATCAGGAAATTGTAGTGTGTTCTGAGACAGGTGCTCCAAAAGGTCATTATCATCAAAGATGAGGAACTAAGAGCCACTTAATTGGCATCTGCCTCATCTTGGTTGACTGTGTTTTGCTAACATGCATATTTTTTTCATGCTTCAGTTTATCCCAGGATTCCTCATTCTGCCAAGTCCATTTTGGCAAACACATATTCAATGTGCGTTGTGTCTTTCTGTGTAGCTCTGCAGAGGACAGGAAGATTAGAGGAGAAGGAGGTGAGAGCTGTTACTGAGTTCCAGCAGGTGTCTCATTAGGCCATTCGCTTGCTGGTATTTCTGCTTGGATTGTCTTTTGCCCGGATCTTTGTATGCCCTGCTTCTTTTTCTTTTTATTCTTATCTTGGCTAAATGCTGCTTCCTCTGAGAAGCCCTTCCTGACCACCCTAGTGTTGATTGCCTTAGTCCCCCTTCTTACTTGCTCTCCCATTATACCATTTTATTTTTTTGAGAGCGGTATCATTGCCTGACATTCTTTCTTATATTTGCCTCTGCATTACCACTCTTCCCACACTAACGTGCAAGCTTCTTGAGGTCAGGGACTCTGTCTTGCTCACCATCGTATCCTTGGATGGTACTAGCATGTACTGGATACTCAGGAGATCTTTGTTGCATGAATGATTGCTTCTGATTTATCAATAGCTCTGGACAGGTGGTGTTTTCATGTCACTCATAGAAGGGGAAACAGACTTCATGAGATGCAGGGGTTTGCCTGGATTCTCACAGCAGAAAAAGTCTTGTGCTGAAATTCGAACTGGAGTCTGTTGGCCTCCTGTGCCCTCTGGAACATGCCACCCATCTCAGTGGGACCTAATCCCTGCCCTCAAGGAGCTCTCCACCCAAGCAGGAAGAGTGAGACAAACACATTCATCATCCTCACTAAGACACAGACAGAGGTGCCCAGACAGAGGCAGCAAACATGCGAAGGGCACTTATGGGCAGTAGCAGTTACATCAGTTGAGGACCTGAGTAAAGGCTTCTTGGAGAGGTGGCATTTAA